AAGACTTGTATACGGGGGGTTAGTGGTTTTGGTTCTCATTGAACTCTTCCTAATGTCAACTTGGTGATGATCTAACATCTTTGTGATAGACAACTGCAATGAAGCTTGATATCATGACAAGTTCTGTTCTCTTTTCTCTTCCCTATATTTTGGTGTAAATGGCAAATGCAGTTTTGATTGAATTATTATTTTTTAAAATTTTTAATTTTATCAATAGATGTCTCTTCCGAAGAGAAGAAATACAGATCAAGTTCGAACACAGTACGAAACTATAGACTATAAAACCATTGTACGAAGTCGAACCTCAACAGCACGCGAGGCGAGAACAAGTTGATCATTCGGGTCACCAGATGATCCAACCTGTTACGAGAATGGCTAAAAACCTCAAAGACATCCCTAACCCCCTATCTAAAAAATTACCAATCTCTTGCAAGATACTGCCAATACGAGCATCATGCAAATTGCGAGCTTTGCACTTGTCGATGATGATGTTTGCTTCCCCACCAACAATCGTATTACGCACCCCAACAAGGCACACTCAAGTAAGCAATCCCTGAGCGCAATGCATTCAATAATATACACACCCGAGATACCATTATAGGGCACACCTCCAGCTTTAATAATTCTGTAACATCCCTACCCTCGTACTAATTATTATGTCATAATGACGTGTTGGTGATCGGGTTACAAAAATTGGTCTTTTGAACCAAAAAGGAAGCGAATGGTGAAAGCTTTAGACTTAATTGCAAGAGGATAAAAGTTTACGGTCAAATGCTCAATTTGGGGGCTGGAGAATTCTAGAGAAGGGGAGATAAAAATCTGCCCTCCCCTCATCTCTCTCAGTTTCTTCTCATCTCTTTCCCTCACTCTCTCTCACGTCCCTCTCTTGCTCTCTTTCTTCCATCTGATTTCACCACCCAAAAATCACCACCACCATTTTCACAAATAAGGAGTAGAGAATTAGAAAGAAAGGATATCAAGGAATGGAAGAAGAAGGAAGCTAAGGGGGTGCTGCAAATTTTCGTCCAGCAACAGGACAACCTGTGAAAAGGATGATTCCGGACAATCAAGCCGTTGGATCGTCCTGAGATTTGTAGGTTGTATTATATACTTCCTTTTCTAAGATTGGACTGTTGGGATCATTGTTATGATCTCTGGTTCATCAAGGAAGGTCGCTAGACAGAAGGGGTGCGACACTGTTTTTCTGTAGCAGGACAACATATTAGAGGTAAGATCCTGTGCGAATCAGTCGTTGGATCGTTCTCAAAATTTGGTATAATGTTAAATATATTGAGTTCTTCTAATTGACCGTTCGGAACATAGTTTTGATTTCGGAGTGGTTAGAAACAATTGTTAGAAGTAGGGAGTTGGATTTGAAGTGAAAAGAAAGTAGTTGACAGTTTTGAAACGTCAACTTAATATGATTTCTGGTCTGAAACGGCTTATGAAAAAGGTCTGAAATTTGGATATGTTGTATCCCTATTAATCTAGTTTCAGTAGCAACAAGAATCAACTGATTTGGTTAAGTATCAAGGGAGAAATGACCAAAATGGTGAAGCATGGTAAAGTGTACGACCGTACAACTTCCCTAGTGGCCTTATCGACATGCATGAACACAACCATGATTATGATGACTTTATACGTATCTTGGTGCTTGAATAACCTGGAAAATTTGTATATAAAGATAAGGATCAAGTCGGGGGCTCATCCAAAGGCAAGGGCATAGTCGAGTGAAGACAAAACTGTGAGTAGATTCGAATCTTAGATCTACTTCAACATAATAATAGAATTCGGGTCATGAAGCGGCCAGAATACATATTAGGGTCATGAAGCGGCTCCGGTATAATATGTGAATTTATGGGAAATGATATGGCTATGTGATATGGTTTATTGGTGTATATTCAGTATCTGCATCTAGTATGAAGTTGGAAATGCATGAATTGTGGATGGGATATGGAAAGACATTTTGTTGGTTGATCTTGTGTATGCCTCTGCAAATTTCTACTGTGCCTCTGCAAATCATTGTTGCCTCTGCAACTGACATTTTGTAGAATTAGCATGGTTATGTGATCTAATGATGAAAATGGTTGAATGATCATGAAGTGGAATGAAATTATCTTATGGGTTGGTTTTGTTGATTTATTGTGTGGATTATGAGTAAGTATTCGAACTTGCGAACCTGTCATGTCTGCTTAGATTTGGAGTAATCCATTAGGCTTACTAATCCTGTTCTTCTTGAATAACTCGGAGTAAACTCCTCAGCTTACATTCCATTCTGCTGTGAGTGAGGGTGCAAAAGCACTATGAGTGCTTCTGAGCCTATAGTGTATAAATGAACCTACGGGTTAATGATTATTGACATGTGTGTAAGTGAACTATTAATGAAAATAGGTGAATATATAAGAATAAGTAAAAGGGCTTTATGATACCTCGGTACAGTAGAGTGTCCTGTTCGTATCGATATCGGTAACCCCACGATACTCCTGTTTGAGCGCTCGTGCTCCGCACCGTGCCGATTGGGTGACGACCCACAATACTCATGTTCTGTTCAGTTAGCCGGGCTGGGGTAATCCCGTGGCAACTCCTGTTTTCTATCGGTCCGGGTTGCGTCCCGCGATACTCCTGTTGGTGCGAGCACTCCTGTTTCGTGCCTTGTGAACTCTTGTTCGTACCGGACTGGGTTTTGTCACGCGGTACTCCAGTTATCTGATGGTTGTACATGGTTACCCTGCATCTTTCCACTACTGTACTACCCGGGGAGGATATCATTTAGCAAATTTGAAAGTGAAATTGTATAAGCAAAATGCCTTTGTCTGTCATCTGTTTTATGTGTTTTGACTGTGATGGGATGTGAACATGTGAACTTGATTGATTCAGTGGAATGAAAAGTGTGACAAACAACTTAAGTCCTGTTATGTGCTAGGGTGTTTCTGTCCAATACTGTTTTTGTATTGATGTCGATCTGAGCTTAGAATTTATTCACTGAGCGACGACTCATCCTGCGTCACCATTTTTCCTCATATCAAAATCAGAAGTAAGGTCTGTACTGTAGATATCGGGACTCAAGCGTGAAGGGAAGCCATGAGGTGGGCGGAGGACTCCGGACTCCTTAAATGTTTTATGTTGTGTGGATTTTATAATAAAGCGGACTTCCCCGATTTTCTGTTTTGACTGATGCAAATGTAAATTATGGTTTGAAGTTTGAAATATATATATATATATATATAAAGCTCGGGCCCGAGAATGTTTAAACTTGATGTATTTTACTGTTTCGTTTTGTAATATAAAGTAAGGGTGTTACAATTCTACCACCTGCTTGAGAAATACTTGCTCTGAAAAACCTAAATGAGGAAAGAGTTACTGACCGTTCTACCTTGCAAGCTTGTACAAGTTTAGTGACCCAGATTGTAATTTACCCAATTACTAGGAAAAAATCCCACTGTACACATGTTTTTAAAAAAAATTCTCAAAATACACATGTTATGAAAAAAATTCCCAATCTACGCATGTTTGGGCCTTCACCGCGTCTGACCAAGGCGGTGATTGAATCACCGTGTTAGACGAAAACAGTGATTGCATCACCGCATTAGACAAAAACGGTGATTGCATCACCGCTGTAGAGGAAGGCGGTGAATGCATCACCGCGTTAGAGGAAAACGGTGAAGGCATGACCTACGTCAAATCTTTAAAAAAACGTAACTTATTGCTCGGTTATCCGATCGAAAAGTTATGCGGAATCAAAAAAAAATTCACCACGATCGGATAACCGAGCAAAAAGTTACGTTTTTTTAAAGATTCGACGCAGGTCAGGCCTTCACCGCGGCCGTCGAACGCGGTGAAGCTATCACCGTTTTTGTCTACAGCGGTGATGCAATCACCGTTTTTCTCTAACGCGGTGATTGCATCACCGCCCTACTTTAACGCGGTGAAGCAATCACCGCCTTAGTCTGACGCGGTGAAGACCCAAACATGCGTAGTTTGGGAATTTTTTTCATAACATGTGTATTTTGAGAATTTTTTTTAAAAACATGTGTACAGTGGGATTTTTTCCCAATTACTATGCGTTATGACTTGTGAGAGTACGAAGTATGAACTATGAAGCACTCTTTCCCCGCCTAACTACAGTCGGTCGTGCTATCTCGAGACGTGAAATCACTAGACTGGCCGAAATTGTCCTGTGGGTCTCTCTCTTGATCAGTCTCCATTCCAGAGTCGTAGGTAAGATGCTCTTGTCTCTTTCAATTTTCTTTTTGGTTGGGAAAATGTAGGGTTTTCTTCCTTCATGCCGTTTTTGTCGAGATATTACCGCTTCTTTTTGCTATACGGATTTCTGGGTTTCCTTTTTAGCCCTTTTCAATATTCTAAAAAGCTACAATCTTCGGCTCGGAAATGGTATGGTTTGTGTTAGATTTATCAGGGTGCTTACTATTCTGGTACTGGGTTATGCTTAATTGACTGAGATTTTGTTTATGCGGACGGTAAATTTGCAAAGAAGGAGTTTCAGTCGAGAGTTGTGTGTAGAGAACAAGAGATTTGGTACTTTGCTGGGAGACCTCGGCGGTAGTAGAGGTCTTGGCTTCAAGGGGAAATTTGTTTGTTCATCGTATAACTGAATTGAACATGGAATCACATAAATGATGAACTAGCGTTTTCACTCTCTTCTTTCAGTCCGTTAGGCGAGAGCTATTTCTCCGGTTAAGATTTCCATTAGGTTACATGTTCGTTCGGTGAACCAGATTTAGCTCAGCTTTCCCTTTTGTGTAGAGCACACCATTTTGGTTTCTAAATCTCTCATTTGTTGCTGTAGGATCATCCCTGTCGGTGGAATGATCTGTATAACAAAATTATCGAAGCTTATTTAAGCCTGTCAATCATGATTTACCATCTCAGAAGAGTTGTAAGTCTTGCAGTTAGAGAGACTCTTAACTCTAGACCACTACTACTACTCCACACCACTAAACCTCCACACTGTAATATCACCTTATAGATACTTCTCCACCAACGAAAGCACCTCCAACCAGCACTCATCAGCGGTATCCTACCTCATTAACTCATGGGGCCTCCCTTTAAAATCCGCTCTCCATGTTTCCAAGCTACTAAAATTCCAACCTCAAGAACAAACCGGCCTAGCCCTTGCTTTCCTGAAAAACTACGGCTTCTCACAAACCCAAGTCTCCCTCCTCGCCAGAAACCACCCCAATTTACTTGTCTGCAACGCGGAAGAAACAATTATGCCAATTTTCCAGTTCTTTGAATCCATAGGCTTCTTGAGGTCCGAGGTTGTCAAGTTGGTGACCAACTGTCCACACCTGTTGGGTAGAAGCTTGGAGGAGTACATCAAACTCGGGTTTCTTTTCCTTAGAGATTTGCTTCAGTCGGGTTATGAAGAAGTTGTCGTGGTCATGAAGCGAGCTCACTACTTCATGAACCAAGACGTTCGAACTTTCCTGCCACCTGTCATCAACTTACTCCGTCGCAATGGAGTCCACGAATCGGGTATCCGCAAACTACTCTTTTACTGCCCGGGAATATTTAGAATGAATCTCGATAAGCTTAACAAGGTTGTGGGGGAAGCGAAGGAAATGGGGTTCGAACCTGGGAAGATGATGTTCATCAATGTGATTAGCACCTTTGCCTCCCTGGAGAAATCGACAAGGCAGGGGAAGTTCGATGTGTACATGAGATGGGGTTTGTCCGAGGAAGAGGTTTCAGCTGCGTTTCAAAAGAGACCCTTCTTCCTCAAGCCCTCTGAGGAGCAGATAACGGGAGTTATGGATCTGTTTGTGAACAAGCTGCGGTGGGGTGCTTCTTTGGTTGCTATAACCCTGTGATTGTGTCGCTCAGTCTGAAGAAGAGATTGCTACCGAGAGCAGCAGTTTTGGAGTTTCTGACTTCGAAGGGACTAGTCAAGAAGGATTATAGGGTGCCGTATTTCTTCATCATGACTGACCAACTTTTCTTTAGCACACATGTGCATTCGTATGATGAAGCTCCTGAGATCCATAAATTGTATGTTAGCAAGCTCTCTCCTTCATGACTTGATGACTAAAAAGTGAAAACATTGCTTTCTACTTCTGTTCAGTTCATCTCTTATCTTTCGTGGCATGGTAGTTGTAAGACTTGTCTACGGAGGATTAGTGGTTATGGTTCTTATTGAACTCTTCCTAATGTCAACTTGGTGATCTAACATCTTTGTGATAGACAACTGCAGTGAAGCTTGATATCATTACCAGGTCTGTTCTCTTTTCTTTTCCCTATATTTTGATGTGAACTTGTAAATGGCAAATGCAGTTTTTTTGGATTGTTGGTTTGGTATTTCCGGTACAGCCCAACTTTTTTTATTAAACCTTTCCAGATTACTGCTTGTACCAGCTGCTATTTATGTAGGAAATTCTTCTCAACTTGAATGTTGTCTGCACATCTATAAATTTAAAGGTTTAACTGATAAAACAGTAAACGGTCAGTAGTCTAATTTTAGCTAAATAGTTAACTGATTAACCGATTATAATCATCTTAACATTCAAGGCTAGAAATAATAGGCCTTGATGAGTCGTAAATATGGGCCGAACATAATAGGATGTTTGACGGCCTTCAAGATCCCTTGTCTTTCCTACTTGTAACAGTGGCAACATAGGTTGAAATGACAATCAAAGAAGGGCTCTAGAAAGATGGATTTGTACATAATAGCTCGACAACGATAAGCAACGTTTAAGCTTCCATGCAATTTGGTGAGGTTTATGAGTTGAGTAATTGTTGTTTGGTGTTTTATTCTTGCTACTTCTTTAATCAAATTTGACGGCATAATGATGTTATCATGTACTTGTATTGTATTGTGTTGATTATTGATTGATATCTATGCTAAATTATTTCCTGTTGAATGATAAAACTTTAAAACGAAAGAACACATAAAACAAATCTACAAAAACACAATTGGAAATATGAGGATATCTTTTGTTGGTTAGGTTATCGATCGGTTATTTTGGTCTAACCTTGTCGAATCACTTGCTAAACGATTATAAGTTAATCGACAAAATAACCAATAACCGACTGTACTGTAACAATTAACCGACTAATATAAACGGCGTTACTACACACCATATCTGCATCGCAAACACTAAACTATGAAGATCAGCAGAGGATTCTTCATTCAGACAATACTCGGAACATAAAACCTTGCACAGTTGATAAGATTTTTACAGAGACCCTGATTTGGATCCAACTAACTATTGGAGGTGGTGAAATGATGCAACTTATTGCCAACTCATATCATATGCTAGTGTTACCCCACATCATAGCATTTGGCAGTGTATGTAAGTCTTCTTATTGCTCTTATCGCGACAAAAAGAAAACTATCCCTTTTCACCTTTTTCTCTCCACCACCATTATCAAGTCATGTGACGCCTGTGAAGTGAAACACTACAAAAACACACACCCGAACACCATATCCTTCATTTTCTTCTCAGGGAAATCCTCACCTCATGTTCCTCTTCCCCCCAAGGAGCGCATTACATAAATCAATGGTAACAAACAACTCATGGTCAAATATGAAGCTGACACGATAACTTTTAGGTTTATTTTTACGTAGCTTATCAGGAAACATAGACAAAACTATTATCAGGAATAAAGCCAAACCAGAAGACACACTCTCTTTTCCTCCTCTGAATTTTCTGTATATCAGATGCAACCTGGCAATTAGCTCCATCAATGTTTTTTTCCTTCTACTATCACAATCAATTTTCTCAAAATAACCAGTCAAAACTATATCCCACTTCGAAATTATTCCTCATCTTTTCTCAACAAAAAACCAAACAAATTCAGAGCAATTCCAAGAGATTTAAGTCCACAAACAATTGGAAATTAACAAATCCAGCCAAAATAAGCAAATCTTCGGAGTTGGTGAATTAAAAGTAATAAATTATTTATTTCATCTTATCCCACACCACCACTGCAGATCCCAGTCAGCGACACCGGAAATCTGCTCAGCGCTCCTCTCACCGCCGACGACGATGCCCCACCGCCACCACCACCTCCACCACCACCAACAGCTTCGGCAGGCGGCAAAACCCTCCCATCGGCGAACAACGCCCGTCCGACGAACCCACCTTCCACCTCCGCACCCGCCGCCGCCGCGGCAGCTTCCTCCTCGGCGTTGAAGAAGGCGGCGTCCCCGTACCTCCTCTCCACCTCGAGGAACTCCCCCAGCGAGTAGGCCGGCTTCGCCTCCGCGTCCCTGCACAGACTCCACCACCTCCTCCGCCTCTCCGCCGCCGCGGTCGCTGGCCGCGGCGGCGGCGGGATTTTCCTCTTCCTGGCCCTCCTCTGCTTCCTGGAGTTGGAATTGGGATTCGTGCCCGCGGGGGTGGCGAATTGGTGGGTTGATTGGAGTTGATCTGATGTAGAAGGAGGGCCGCCTCCGGCCGCGGCGGGGAACGTTACCCCCATTAGGGTTCCTAGTGTGGTGCTCCGGTCATGGAAGAACGAGCCTGTTGACTGAAAGCAGAGGGAAGAAGGGGAAAACAAATCAATTGGAGGTTTTTTTTTTTTTTTTGGGGTCACTGCGGTGAGTTGAAATTGGGAGAAAGGGGGGAGTTACCTCGGTGTCGAGATCGGAAGAGGAAACGGATGAGCTGGTCGGCGACGGCGGAGGAAGCGGATGGTGAAGCATTTTCCAGTCACTTTGCCGGCAGGATTGGCGGAGGAAAGGTGGAGAGAAAGAGCGTAAAGGGAAGGGAAGTATGCGTGTGGGGGAGTGGAGTGCAAACCAAAAAGTCTCTGCCCACTTATTATCATCATGAAAAAAGCGAAAAAAGAAGAGAGATATCCACGGCCGATATTTCTAATTTTTTCTTCCTAAAATTCTTTTGAATCCATGTTAAACCATGGTAAATTAAACCGGATCGGACTGGCCGGTTGAACCGGTAAAACCGGATTTTGGTGCATGGCCGGTACGACAGACGTGTTGGGGGGAAAGCGCCGTTTCGGTCGGTTTGACCGGCACAACCGGTTCAACTAAAAATACCGCCCGGTTTTGGTCTAACCGGGGGTGAGCTGATAAAGTGGAAACGGCGTCGTTTTGCGATAAGGGGAAACAAAAAAAAAAAAAAAAAATCGGCCGAAGCCTAAAACCAAAACCCTAAATCACGCTTCGTTTGCTGCTGCCACTGCCGCTGCGATTCTCTTCTTTTCGAGAAGGCGACCCTGCCTCCTCTGCCGCTGCGATCCTCCTCTGCTCGACGACCGGAGAGGCGGAGACCCTACCTCCTCTGCCGTTGCGATTCCTCCTCTGCTCGACGACCGGAGACCCTGCCTCCTCTGCCGCTGCGATTCCTCCTCTGCTCGACGACCGGAGACCCTGCCTCCTCTGCTCGACGACCGGCGGTCCTCCCTCCTCTGCTCGACGACCGGCGGTGCCTTACCTTTACTTCAATCTCACGCTGTAAGTTGATTCCTTTATTTTTGTCGTTTCACCTGTTTACGTGGTATGAATTGGGAATCAGATGAATTGATCGGGAATTTCGAATTGATGAGATGGTTCGTGGTGTGGCAAATACTTTGTGCAATTGGCAGCTACTTGCAAAGGATCGAGCATTAGAAGAGGAAGGTTTGTTTGTAAATCAATTATGTATGATATGAATTCTAATACTAATAATTGATAATAATTCTTACTTGTTTTCTCTTGTATTGTAGTTGGTGATGAAGAAGATGAAGGGGACGACTTGGAGAATGTTGACTTATCTACATTTGGTGTTGTTTGACGATATGAAACGTTGTTTGTGAACATTGTAGTGTTTGCTAGTTTGTGTTTGTGGTAGTTGTGAACTTGTGGTTTGAGAATGTTGTTTGGTTTGAGAATGTTGTTTGAACTTGTGGTTTAAGAATGTTGTTTGTACTCGATCGTAAACATGCATTAGAACGATTATGTAGTTAATTCAGTAATGTTGCAGTTTGTTGAATTTTATATTACATATGCTTATTTAATTTATTCAGGTTTGTTATCCGGTATATTCCGGTATTATTCCGAGACGGTATCACAAATCTGCCGGTATGATTTTTTCACAAAAAAATATTATTTATTTACAAAAACGGTATTTTGCCGGTACACAACGATTGAACCACGGTAGTACCACAAAATACCCTACCACTGGCGGAGCCGGTATGACTTCCGGTACGGTTTCCTTTACCATGTGTTAAACGATATGAACAATTATACCGGAAAAGTTATTGGTAATGTTTTTTATAATAAAATTATCGTTTAATATTTTTACAGGGTAAAACCATCTATCAATTTTAATTTGATATACAATATTTCTAATATGATCGAAGGTTATGGTACAGTTTCTAAAATATTGATTTTTAATGAGATTGAAGCTGAATAAACAATTATTATAGCGATATCATCTTTGATTTTAATATGAAGATCTTATATTTTAATTATAGGATGGATTTTTCTTCTCAACAACAAAGTTATTTTCGTTGTGAAAATGCATAGTGTAAAATCTTCGGTTAGATGTCGAAAATTGATAAACAATGACGATTTGTAATAAGGTAGGATATGTACTATGAAAACGCAATGAAATAGTTAATTAATAAAAGAAACTTACTGTAACACATCTCTCAAAACCAACTTAAAATCATACTCAAGATCTATCAAATTAATTACTGATCCAACAGTAGACTATCGATACTACAATTTGATTCATTAATTTTAAAGACTTCTTCATGAAAATTGGGAGGTTTAGGACTTGAATATGATATCTATCAGGAGTGCAACAACTCAACAGACTCAGACTTTTTAGCTAGTAAATGACATTATGTTAACTTTGGTTTCTCTATGTTTGATCTTTTTGATTCAGAACTTCAATTTTGGACTATGTATAATTTGATGTGCATTGTCCAATCTCATTTAATTTAAGTGTAGGACAATATTACCCTTTTAGAGTCACTTTACCAAAAGAGTTTAACTTTAAATTTTAAAACATTGCAACCTCCATCATTTTACTGTGAAAAACCTTGATTGCTTCTATGCTCAAACTTTAGAAATGTACTAGGTATGCACACAACACGCTCTTTAAGTAATCTTTTATTATACTTTATATTGAATGTGTGTATTTAGAAAATTGTACTAACCTTTTAAATTTTGCAAAATAAGAAAATGTGACTCGTTAGATAGGACTAACTTAGGTTTGTCACACATTTCACACATTGATATTAAATTTAAAATACATTAACTATTTTTTGGTTTATACGAAAATGGTGTATTATGCGATAGTACTATGACGAGAGTCTAGAATTGTGAAAGAGTCGTGAACTACGTTCACTTTTTGTAAAAAATAATTACACCCTCTACAAAACCTTGGGTTACAAATCGTTTCTTAGGATAAAACTATCACCACTTTAGTTTCCAGTGTTAGATCGCTAAAACAAACTTCGACGTTTTTCGGAAGCAGAACAATAAGTTTTGATGGTGATGTTGCATCGTCGCCATCATACATATATTTATAGGGGTCGAATCTGTGCATTGTTTTTTTTTTTTTTGGTAGGAAGTGCATTGTTTCAACGCGAGACCTTACATCGTTTCATGAAAAGTTACCCTTATCCGTAAGGGAAAATGTCGTAATGAATGTATTTCCATCTTAAGTATACTACACTTGGCGAATATCCGAATATAAAGGTGTCCGTAACGATTAAACTAATCTACTCAAATGAATATCCGAAAATAATATGCACTAAAGTTTTCCGAACTTCCTTGTGATATTGACACTGTTACCCATCATGTGTCTCGATCCTTCTCATAAGTGCACATGAAACGAAGTCCAAATTTTTTGAAGCTGCTACATCTCATGCTTACATAGGTTGCATATCTTTTTTGTGTACCCGCATAATACACTTTGTTAAAGGTTCAATTAAGAATTTTTAAACTTTATCCTCTTCTCTCATACAGGATAACAACCACATATATACCTCATGATGAAAAATTGTGAGATTCAATTTAAAATAACGAGCTTTCCACATTGAATTCACCCTCTGACATTGTATTAGAGAGAAATTGGGTGTTCATGATTAGAAATTATATGGACTTTAAACCATCCATTTCTCATACCTAACCACCAAGTCTCTAGCTAATCATTTTTCATCAAATGATAACTTGAGCCCGAACATATTGTATAGAGATAACTTCAACTCTGATCAATTCATGGATTTACAATGTCTAATTCTTAAACAACACGGCTTGCCACTATACACTTGATTATATGCATTATTCAAAGTAGCATTACTATCACAAATGATAGTGATATATGATACTGGTTTCGAACATATTTTCAGTCTGGTCCGGCAATAAGGTACAATTTCTAAAACATTGATTTTAATGAGACGATATGTGAACACGCAATTGTTTTAGCGGTAATATCTATGATTTTGTAATGGAGATCTTACATTTGAATTATGGGATGGATTTTTCTTCTCAACAACAAAGTTATTTTCGTTGTAAAAATGTATAATTTAAAATATTCTATTAGATGCCATAAAATTGACAAGATTGACAATTAGTAATAAGGTAGGATGTGCACTATGAAAGCGTGATGAACTAATTAATTGATAAAAGAAACTTACTGTAATACATCTCTCGAAATCAACATAACACAAGTATGAGAATCGAATTGATATTTGGAGCGAATCATATCAGATATATTTTTTATTCGAATATGGGTTTATGATTTTATTTAAATATAAAAAAGAAATAGAACGAAATTTAATTTAGACCTGACCGAATCAAATTCAATATGCTTTTGGCCCAGTTTTAGTCCTCATTTTTCTTTGTTTTTGGTTTGATCGTAAATCAATTCAATTTGGTTTTGTACTGAATCGAGCAATATCCACCCTACTCAAGTTCTATAAAATTAACTTTAAAACAGTGCAACCACCATTTTACTGTGAAAAACCTTCATTGCTTCTATGCGAAAACTTAGGGATGTACTATGTATGCACACAACACGCTCTTTAAGTAATCTTATATTATACTTTATATTGAATGTGTGTATTTAGAAAATTGTACTAACATTTTAAATTTTGCAAAATAAGGAAATGTGACTCGTTAGGTAGGACTAACTTAGGTTTGTCACACATTTCACACATTGCTATTAAATTTAAAATACATTTATTATTTGTTGGTTTATACGAAAGATGGTGTACATACGTTAATCCCAGAATGAGAGTCTAGGTTTCTCATATAGTCTTGAATTACGTTCACTTTCGTAAGAATATTTACAACCTCTACAAAGTTTTGAGTTACGGAATTTTTTCGTATGATAGTTCTATCACCACTTTAGGTTCTATGTTTAAGAACGCTAAAGCAAACTTAAATGTTTTTAGGAAGAAGAAGAATGATTATTGATGATTTTGTTGCATCATATGCCCCACACATATATCTATAGGGGTCGAATAGCATTGTTTCATGGAAGTTTCCCTTATCTTTAAATATAGCACATTGTTTCATAATTTTTTTTTCTTATCCATGAAAATACAACCATCAATTAACCAAAAGGACATGTCTCTTCATGGAATTAAGATATTTAATCTCGTCAGTCTCATCCAAAATAAGTTTATTTGGTCCAACTTCAAATCGGTTTGACCTAGTTAGTCTAGTTCGATCTAATTTTCAATACTCCTCTTAATTTTAGTGTATTTAAAGAATCCACAATAATTTTTAGGAATAAATGCAAATGTTGTTATTAGGACGGAGGGTTCACTATTAAGGCTTATGGTATCATATCGTGCTCCAA